CAGGCAGGAGCTGAGCCGCACCTCCACAAGGGCCGACCCCCCCCGTCACGGGGCTGCCCAGGAGCCTTCTAAAATAGCCATAGCACAGAAGGCCCGGAATGTATTTGGACTTATATTTGGAATTGCTCTTGGAAACAGTCCTGGCCAAATGTAACACCCATCTGGGATGGTTGAAGAGGAAGAAAATTAGGTGGTTCAGCAGAAGGGGGCTTGGCAGCCCCTAAGCTGCCAGGGGGCTGGCTGGGTTTCAGGGTCAGCTGGCTCTCACTCAGCCCCACCAGCCATGATTGCTCCTGCTGCCGGGGCCCCTTGCTTCATGCTGGACTGTCCCAGCTGGAGACTTTTTCCCTTCAAACTAGTTCCTGAACCTTCTACTCATCGGTCAGTCCTTCAGGAGTATGGTTCAGGTCTCCTTCCAGCCCAGGACAGCCGTATAGCCATTGAAACTTATTCTTCCTTCTAAGTCTTGCTTCTTCAGATGGAACAGCTCCTTCCCCCCAACATTCGGTACCCAGCACTGAAGCAAGCAAGCATCTTTTGGGGTCCCAATGTGCCAGGGTGGAGCAGAGCGACACCCTTCCTCATTCCCAGTGCCCTACCTTTGTTAATGCATCCCGAGATTTGCATAAGTGTCCAGGCAGTTCTGTGGTGATTCGTTATGAGCTTATGTCAGCTTAAACCTGTTGTGTATTATCCCTGCTGGCTTCTCTCCCCTACTTCATCTTCTATAGTTGATTTTAAAAACAAAAACGTGGATGTTTAGATTTATCTCTTGTTACATGGGTGTGCCTACTCCAGCTTTTGGATCCTTACTCTTGATACATTTCCTGCTCTTCTCAACATTTTCTGAATGACTTTAAACTATCCAAGTGGCTTTCAGTCATCCTTGGTCACTACCTGGTCCTTTCCCCCCAAGAGAGTAGCTGCGGGGAAATCATAGCAGTGAGTATTGCTGACGTTCTTATGAAGCATGAGCCTCATTCTTCAGGGGACCCAAATAGCACTCCCCCAAAAGCGAGAGCTCATGCTTCTCCTTTGCCTTCCTTCTTGTATCTCTGTGGGAAAGCGACCCTGTGCCCCCCATCCAGCTGCGCACTCAGGACTCCGCCAGGGTTGCAGGGTAGGAGGGAGGTGCTGGCAGAAATGACTCCTCAGCCTTCCTGGCAACGGGAGGTTAAAACCCACACACATTGCCTGGGGCTGTTGCAACAAATTTCCATAAACCTGGTGGCTTAAAGCAACAGAAATCTATTCTCTGGCAGTTCTGAAGACTAGATATCTAAAGGCCAGGTGTCAGCAGGGTAGGTTCCTTCTGGGACTTCTGAGGAAGGGACTGTCCCAGGCCTGTGTCCAGCTGCTGCTGGTGGCTGACAGCCCGGGGTGGTCCCCGGCTTGTGGCGGTGTCACCCCTTCCTCTCCCTCCGCCTTCGTGTGGCCTTCTCCCCTGTGTCTCTGTCTCCTTTGTAAGGACACCAGTCATCGGATTTACAACCCACCCTATATCCACGATGATCTCATCTCAGGATCTTCAACATAATTTCGTCTGCAAAGACCCTGCTTCCAAATAAGATCCTATTCACAGTTACTCGGGACATATTTTGGGGGGATTTACAGAATCCACACAGAAGGGATGGCCGTTCGTTGTGATGAATAAAGTCTCTGCTCAGATGTTTTTGACAAAGAGGAGCGTGAAGGACGTATAGTTAAAGATCTACATCCTGACATGCACGTGGGCTCAAGGGAGTCCCGAGGCCCAGCGCACATTCTGTGGGCAGATCCAGGGTTCCTGGAGGGTCTGAGAGGCCAGGGACACCCCCTCCGCTCTACTGAGGAAGTGAGCCTGGCCTGTTTGTAAAAGGCCTTGAACCTGCCTCATAGAAGGTGGGATCCTGAGTTCATTTCACCTCACCTCAAACAGATGAAAATCCGTAGTCCTCCTGCCCCCTATCAGGGCTGGCCTGGCCTGGCCTGGTTGGAACATCAGCCGTGTTCCAGTTTATGCTCGGTGATTACTTCCTGATCTCTAAAGAATTGTATGGAATCAGCATGAAGTTACTTGGTGTTTAAAATTGAGGCAGGTTTCGGGGCTCTTGTTTTATTTATGAGCCAGACATCCACAGGAAATGTTCTTACTACAAAATCAACTCTCAGTATGGAAAGCTTGGCCCAGAGGTTGGGTTTTTAGATAGTAATTTATGTGATAGAATTCCAGTTCGACCAGAGAATGTGGATAGTCCTGTAGGAGTCCTTGGTAAGAACTTTGGTCTTGGATTTACTATTAAACACAGATTTTGATGACAGTTTCAAAGGTGTCACTTTTCATGGATATGGTTTCATGGCCTGGGCCATAATATCAGTGGGACTGATAAGAAATGTGTGAGCTGGGAAAGGCACCCCATCAGACTCATGGCCACATGGTATGTGTGGCACATAAACTGAATTGTTTTTTGAGGCCCATGCAAATCTGATTTTGGCCTTTACCCATCAGCCTCTAGCTTATACTACGACCAGCCTGCAGTGATGGGTGCTGCGATGGACAGGTGATGTTGGGGGACACTGTAACAGGTGGATGTAGTGTTATCCTGGGTAATGTGCCCGGGTGGGCACAGATCTGGGGGGCATGGACTCACCGGTCACTGAGCATCACAATGACGGGTCTGGAAACAGGGTCTTTTGAAGAGTTAACCGAACAGGCTGAGGTCTACAAAACTCTCCCATTCAGGGGTGTGTGTAGACTTTAGGCCATCTGTGGGCAGATCCCAGGCATCTCCAGACTTCTCACAGGTGTCCTCTGTAGACACTGGCTGTAGATGGATTCTGAAGGGGTCAAAGGCCCTGTGCCAAATGTCTGAGGTGAAGCAGCTCTGGTCCCTGAGAAGCCATGCTCGTGTTATCCATATATCTGCATACCCTCCCGTTAGAGGGAGGGGCGTGGGAGGAACATCTGCAGTGGGCCTGGGCCATGGGGGCCCTGTGGTTTCCGCCCCAGTGGGTGTGCTGAGCGCTCGGGTCGGCCGGAGCGTAGAGAGTAGCTGGCAGGACAGATGTGTACTCCTCAGACATTTGGTACGGAGTAAAGATTTACTGACTTGCCTTCACTGGAATAAGTGAAGCCACGTTGGAGAAGTTGGGGTGGGGGGGAAGAAAGTGTGGTGTTAGCAGGTGAGAGAACGTGAGTCCTTGGAGCCCGGGGGCCGCCCCGCGTCAGCCCCATGTTCCCACAGGCAGGCAGAGGATGGTGTATGAGGGAAAGGTGCAGCAGGGAGGTCATGTCGGAGTGGGCATTGGAAACGCACCAGGCAGAAATGAAGAAGGGATTTTTGAAAAACAAAAGATGAAGACTCACCCTCTCTGCAAGCAGAAAGCAGGAAGATTCAGTGTGGGAATTCACAACTCAGTTGTGTTAAAGAAAGAAGTTATGGGGTGACAGTGGAATCACGGGCCTGTCAAGCTGCAGTGTACCATCTCACCTGCTTTTATGGGTGCTCAGAATCCTCCAAATGAGGTGATTGGAAAAGTGCCACTGTGGTAGGTCTGTGACCTGACTCCATCCGATACAACTTGATGCCATCTTTGTTTTCGAAAATATAAAATATGCAGATATGTGCTTGAGTAGGCACAGAAAATTCCTGGAAGGCTATTTCAGCAACTGATAACGAAGGTCATCTTTGGGGAGCAGGACTTCCAGTTAGGACCACCAGAGAAACTGGGCAGGAAGACTCTCCATGCTGCATTTATTGTGGTGTTACGGTTCATCTTGTCTTATTGGTTGTTTATGTGATATAAGAAAAGAAATATCCCATGCTTTAGAAAATCTATCTGTAATGCAAAGAGTCCAGTAAAATATATTTGCAGAGGATTTATTGAAGGGAGGAAGGTTAGAAAGAAAGAGAAAGCAAGCAAGGAAGCAGACCCTTATCCTGATGCTTGTTCAAGGCTGGAAGGCAGGCATCATTCAGGACCATTGGAGGGGGGTCAGGACATGGCGTGGGGACAAAGACTGGCCTCAACTCCGGGTATAGTGGGGAAAAGTGGGGACTTATAGCCAAGGAGGAGTGGGGGTCAGGGGGTTGGAAATTACTGAGAAGACACATCGGGGTAAGTAGGTCGGGGTTTTGACCAACCGGACCTAGCAGGATTCTGGCTGAAGACAGGCTGGGGGGATTAGACATCTCCTGGGGGGCGGTGGGGGACCAGGAACCCACCACATATTGAGGGTGATCAGATAACAGAGGGTGGGGGATTCTGGCTAAACTGACCTAGCAGGATTCTTGCTGAAATTGGGCAATTTGGGGATGGATGTGGTCATCTACAAGGTGAGGCCTACTTGGGAAGAAGATTTAGAGGAGCCCCAGTAAAGTTTGGTCAAGGAGTGGCACCGCAGGAAGACATGGCACATCCATGTGGTGGGATCTGTGTGAACAGACCTATGGACAAACAGGGTTACAGGTGACTGCATGCATATGTGGGGGTGGTTTTTATATTGTGTTAAAAAATAAGTCCCTACTAATCTAGAAAGATACATCTTATAGTTTTTTTTTTTTAATGTTTGGAACGTCTGTGGAATGGGCAGGAATTTTTATGAGGAACTGTAATGTTGTAAGAGCAACAGATGTTCTTGTTGCCTCGGATGGGAGGGAGAGAGATATGAAGGAGCATAACATTTTCATGGCCTGTCTTCGCTCTTATACAGTTTCTGAGCTTTCAGGGAAAGCAGGGCAGCATGGTCAAGAGGCTGGAAAGAATAAAGAAAGTACTGGTGGCTTGTCTGGGGCCAGTGTAGACAAGTCTGAGTCCAAGAGATTGTGTGTGGCCCTGGCAGAGGTGGGGAGGTGTGAGAGGCGGTAGGAAGTGGCCCATCTACAAGGGAACAAAGAGAAATGGCAGGGTCCTGATGTACAAGATGAGATCGAGTGATTGCATGTTGATTGTAATTGTCATCCAAGGAGCATGATTTCTCATTCTCAGGTGGTAAAAATATCTATTTATTTTATTTACAGGTTATACTCTGACTATCTCTACTTCGCAAGTTCGAATAAATCTGCCGATGACTTTCATGAAAAAGTGACGGAAGCTCTGCAGCTGTTTGAAAATTGCATGCTCGATTATTCCTTGCGTGCCTGCGTCTACAACAACACGCTCAACAATGCCATGCCTGTGCGTATCCTGGAAGCCCGGCCCCCCTCAGAACAGGCGCCTTGGTGCTTATTATGCAGGTGGCATGGTGGATGGGATGGGAGCATAGAAACACAGAGAAGCATTTGAATGTGCAGACGCCTCTCCCCACGCCCCTGAGTGGTGGCTAATGCACACACAAACATGCACGGACGTAAAAACTGTAAAGGGATGGGCCCTTCCAGCTGGCACCAGGCTTTCTTCCCTGCTGATCTCCCTGGTACAATACTCTCTCCTCCCTCTGCAGGGAATGAGGGTGCATTTAGGAAGATTACCATGTAATGAGGCTCAGAAAACGCACCCTGCAATTAGGATTGGCAGACATGGGGACCCAACTCTCAAACAGTCTTAAGCATGTTCTCCAGTGGTGGATTGTTCTGGTGGTTTAAAATATTGCCCACTGGTGACTTCCAGTGTCTTCGGCAGAGCCTGAATGGAAAAATATTTTCCCTTGATCTCTTTTCTTTCCTCTTGTTTGCCTTCCGGAATATAGCTATACATTCTTGCCTTGTTTTATGCAAAAGAAGCAGCTGGTGGTGAATTCAGCACACTTTGGCTAAGGGTGGTTTTCTGCTGCACAGCTCTGGGTTGTGTGAGTGCCTTTACAGTACGTTTGTGCAGCAAGAAAGCCTTTCTGTCCCGGGGTGTGGTTCACGAGCGCTGCTCTGTGGAGCGCATCATGTGGTAAGGCAGACAGATGTGCTGGAGGTAGAGGCTGGGAACCCCCTGGGCGTGGGGAGTTCAAGGTCAGGGGGTTTCATACCCTTTCTTTTTTTTTTTTTTAAATCTTATTTATTTATTTATTCATGAAAGTCAGAGAGAGAGGCAGAGGCAGAGGGAGAGAAGCAGGCTCCCCGCCTAGCAGGGAGCCCGATGCGGGACTCGATCCCAGGATCCTGGGATCATGACCTGAGCCGAAGGCAGACGCTTAACCGTCTGAGCCACCCAGGCGCCCCGGTTTCATACCCTTTCTTGTTATCGAGGTCATCCTCTCTGGAAGGCAGGGTACTAGTTCTGGCAGGATGCATCGGGCAACGAGTTGGATTGAGGCTCTCCTGCCAGAGTTTTTAGTTTGTCAGAGAAGCTGCAGACAAGGGCACAGATCCGTACAGAATCTGGCGGGGGGTGTAGGGTAGAGGAGTGGCCTGTGGAGCCAGACAGTGCAGTTCCCAGCCTGGGCATTTACTAGCCGCATGACTCGGAGCAGTTGTTTCAGCTTCTCTGAGACTCAATGGCTTCTTCATAAAATGGAGTGATACCACTGCTTTACCAGGCTTTTGTAAGGATCAGAGCGATAGTTCATTCACATGGAGGGGAGAAATAAATAATCCTTTTCTTCTAGCCATCATAGAGTCATTGGTTGGGGCCCCATAAATTAGACTGACAAAAGACATTCACAAGAGAAAAAAACCCCACAAGTTTATTAACGTGTGTGTTGCAGATACACACATCCCTGACGAGTAACTCAGAGGGATGGTTAGAACTCAGGCTTATATAATGTCTTAACAGGAGAACAATATATTTGTAGAGAGGTGACCAGACAAAGGGAAAGGACTTTGAGTTTCTAGGGCAACAAATTGTGAGAAGGCGAATAAACGTATGAGGAACTAATGGCTGGTAAGGGCGAGTTTTAGTGAGGTTTGTTACGTCAGATCCTTGGTGCTATTTTAAGGCTGACAAAGGTCTAGAGTTGTCTGCAGTGATAAACTTTGGTCCATCCTGGTGGAGAGAGGGGTACCCTTACAAATTTAGGTACTGCTTGTAGGCAAATGGGGTGAGGGCAGAGAGATTTTCTTATATCTGTGTTTCTTCTCAGTTGCTTTCAGCTCAAAACAATCCTTATACCAAAGTGGTATATTTCAGGGCAGCGTATTCTGCCACCCTTCACGTGCATTCATTGTCTCGCTGTGTCTGTGCCTGGCACCTGGGCTGGGACTGCAGCCGTGGCAGGACAGGCATGTCCTTGGGTCCCGGTGCAGCCCCAGCTCTAGCAGCGTGAGTGACATAGAGGCTGGGATAGAAGCTGTGGCCCCCAGCAGAGGCCACCTGGACACGGCATCAGGGGGACTTCCTAAGAGAGGTAACGTTTGAGCTGAGGCCTAAAGGATAAGTCTCCCGGGGACATGGAGATAGTGAGATGTCCAGGTGAGGGGAGCAGGATGTGCAAAGGCCGAGGGGTGAGCATGGAGGGTATTTGCTACAGCCACTACAGCACGTGGTTGTGTGGGTGGTGGGGTGATGGCATGATCCTGCATCACCGAGGATGTGGTGAGCCTTGGAGGTCTGGACTTCATCCTGAGGGAGAGATGAGGGAGATGGGTCCCCAGAAGGGCTTAAGGAAAGGATAGTTGTAGCAGTTCTGCATTTGAGAAAGATGCCTGGTGTCCGGGGTCCTCAAGGGTGGGAGGGGGCCTGTCTCCCAGAGACAGGGAGGCCAGGGTTGGGGTGGGATGGGATTTCTAGAAGAGAACTGGTGGCGGAGTCAGGGTAGGAGAGGATGGAGCTTTCTAGAAACAATTAGGAACAGTGGAAAGGATGTGCAGATGGATTAGATGAGGTGGTGGGATCAGAGGGGAAACCACGTGTTTTCTGGCTGACGTGCCAAGTACACTATTTGCTTCAAGATGGCTCTGGCCCTTAGCTGTTGCTTTTTATTATGATTATTTATGACCATGAGGGTCATCCATGCAGGGCCTGCTGGAGAGAAGAGCCACTTCCCAGAGACATTTCCTGAAAACTCGTAGGCGTGGAGTGAAATGGGGACTGACCTCACTCACAGCTGAGACTCGACTCGTCTCCAAGGGCATACACTGGGTGCCCATTCTGTGCTCAACACCGTGCTCAGTGCTAAGAAACCCCAGCCAGGGCGTGGCCTGGAAGGGAGGGAGGGCACGAGGCAGGACAGGGAGAGTAGAGGTGACTCATCCAGCCAGCGTGTTTCAGAGAAGGTGCTGGAACCATCCTGTCCCAGTGCCGTGTAGCACACTATCGAGAGACTAGATGGTTACTCAGAGTCCAGTAATTTGGAACAGAGAGGCCCGAAGGGGCTGCACGGCCTGACACCAGCAAGAAGTGCAGGTAGACTCTTGGTTTTATTATTGTTATCGTAGAATGTAAAGTATGCGGAAGCAGGGAGGGAAAAACAACTCAAGAAAGCTGTCACGTGAGGGGCAGCCGGGAACCGTGTATAAGACTGTTAGCATGGATTCTAGTGAGGTCTTAAAGGGGGCTGTGGCGGTTGGGAGAACTGAGCTCAGCAAGCCTCTGGGTCTTCTTGTCATCACTGTTCTCAGCGCAGACCGATGACGGGAAGAATTGGCTTTTGCCACACGCATAGAGCTGTTGTCATTTATGTGTGTTCCTGTTCTTATTGTCTCTTTTGCCCACTGAGGTCTTGTGCTCCCACGTCCCAGGCTGCGTGACTACTGAGTTCTCTCTTGAGGAGATTATCTAGCAGACACTCTGAAAGGGAGGCATAGGTGTGGGCTTTACTTCCAGGGCCTTCTACGAGGAAGCGCTTATGCATGCTGGATTTGGATGGGCAAGGCCAGGCAGTGCCAGGTGGAGCTCCTGACTGGAGGTACAGCTTATTTCAGGGGCTTCACATTGTGTGTCTCTCACGGAAGAATGAGCGTCTGACATAAATGTGATACAAAGTGGACGTCTGTGCTGCCGGGCACTCTGCACGCCACCGCCCCCCCTCCCCCCCCCCCCCGAGCTTGCCGGGCCTCCAGCCCCTTGGCACCTTTGCCAGTGAGATCGGGATGATGGATCTCACTTTGGTTCACTCCCAATGCTGCACCAGGTGCTGTCTTGAGCTTTTCTGGTACATCATGTTCTGTCCTCCATGCTGCCCTGAAATCCATGCCCATTTTACAGATGAGGACACTGAGGCTCACAGACATTAACTCTCCCACCCAGAGACTTAGAGCTGGTAACAGGCCTCGTGTTCGTCCCAGGTCCTGTGGCCTTGCAGACTCGAGGCATGTCCACCTTAGCTGGCTATCTGCAAAAGCAAAGGTCTGAACTGGCTTTTTTCATTTAGTCTCAGGTTTTGCTGAGGTTGACGAGATGATGGCTTAACAGACACCTCTGGTCAGAGAGAGATGCCCAGGGGCAGGATGGGTAGATAGGACGGGGGTGGTGGGCGTCACAGATCGCAGATTCGGCCCCTGGCCAGTTCCTGCTTAGCAGGAAGAGCCAGGCTGTCAGGAGCAGTGGGAAACCCTGCTTTGAGGGGGGAATCATCAATTCTGGGATGAGGGAAGCAGATTTCCCTCCAGCTGTGAGTCCCAGCTCAACCACAGCACAGGCAGGACGATCTTTTTCAAACATAGGTGGACCTTGGTACTACCCTTCTGCAGACGTTCACTGCCTTCCCATGGCACCAGAAGGCATGAGCCAGCCCGGCCTCCTCCCCACCTGCCCCCCCACACACTGTTCTGCAGCCACACACTCTCCTCCTAGGTCTTCAGGCCAGCTTCTTGCCTCAGAGCCGGGGTTTGCAAAGCATGTTCCTGGACCAGCAGCATCAGCGTCCCCTGGGAACTTGTCAGAAATGCAAACTGGTCAGGCTGACCCTAGACCCCAGAAACGAGCACCTTGGGGGTGGGCCCATCAATATATCTAACAGCCCCCTCCAGGCAGATCTGTTGTCCCCTTGGGTTGGAGAAACAGGTTCTAGTGCCTTTTCCCACTTCCTTCTCCTGGGTGTGGCAGGGCTTCTCATTCTTCGGGTCTTACTTTCCTCTGACCTCTGTTCTCTGTCCCCACCCTGCTTGTTTCCCTGTAGCATGGGCCACAGCCGGTGGTTCCAGATGTTGGTTTCTTCAGCAGCTTAGCTCTGTGTCCCCCACGAGCCTCCAGGCTCCAGGAGGCCAGGAGCCATGTCGGTTACATGGCAGTACATCTCCATTGGCTTGGGGGGCACCTGGCATGCCACACGCACTCGATTATTTGCAGAATGAACAAACGAGTTTTCGACACTAGCAGATAGTAGATGGGTTGGGTGGGGAGCTCCACCTGAACCCCCGATTGGGAACGGAGAGGCTTGGCATGGCGCCTGTCTGGGAAGAGCCCTGTACCCACCCTTCCTTTGCTCTGTCCCCACGTGGGGGAAAAGTCCCGGTGGCAGGGACCCTGGCACCAGCTTCTCCTACGTGTGGTGCTCCCAGCTGACCCCGGGCCGGCCCCACCCCTTCCTGGGCTTCCCTTTCTCCATCAAGAGTCGGCTGGGGCAGATCACTGCAAAGAATTCTCTCAGCTCTGATGTTTTGTAATTTTAAATCTATCAGACTCTTCTCCTAAATACCGTTTTTATCTTTAGTCCATTTTGATTCTCCGGCCTCTGCGGGGGGAAGGCAAAGAAGAACAGTTCTGAGGGGGACTGTCCTAGGTGTGTCTTAATGGCTCCCAGCTGTGGTAGTGATGTTGCGTGCACCAGAGAGCGTCACTTGGGGCGGCCAGAGTTTTCCTGCAGTGGTAAGAGGGCAGGCGAGTCAGAAGAGGGGGTGTTCAAGGGGACCCGGGAGCCTGCAGCTGTGGGAGCCAGCCTACCTCCCTTCCCCAGACCCCCCTCCCCCGCTGGGGCCATCGCCGCCTGTGAGGGAAGACCCCACTGCAGGAGGGCCTCGGCCAGCAGGTCTTCCTCTTCCTGGGAGCAGGGGGGGGCCCTGCCCACAATGGGCACAAACAGGCTTGCAGAGAAATAGTCTGTCACCTGTGGCCAGGTCAGGAGTGGGTTCCCAGTGATGATACAGGGCCCCGCCCTGTCACCAACACCAGTTTCTTTAATTCTAGGAAGTTCTCAAGCCCCAAAGGCAGGTTCTCTAGAAGAGATGACCTTCATTAGGCTGAGGGAGGCGGTGAGCCTGACAGAGAATTGAAATGCCCTGTGAGGCTGATGGCTCGGGAAGGCCTGCTCATAACAGTCTGTCTGTGTTAGAGGCGACACACACAGGATTTCTGAGGCTGGCACATACTCATTTTCTCCGTGGCTTTGGCCCAGCTTGCAGTCTTCTTTACGGGTTGGTGCACAAGGAAGCGACAACCTGGGGGCTTGTGGCAGCTCATGAGTTTTGGAGACAGCTTATCCCCCTCACTGTTTTTCTTCCTCCGCATCCTCCCACATGATTAGAAAAATAATGAAATGGGAAAAGAATAGCGGGAGAGGAAATGAGGTAGTCGGAGCCTGGCTGGCCTTGTGCGGCAGGGGATGACGGAGGGGTCCGAGCCCTCGGCTTAAGGAGCGAGGCTCGGAGGGGGCACCTGGGGGCTGAACACACGCCAGACTTCGAACTTTCCACGCTGGGACAGCGGGCGGGCTGGGCATGGGACGGCATGGCCAGGCCACTGGCGGGGACACTTGGCACTGGTGGCAGGCGAGGGCTGGCTGCTCGGAGGCTGGACCGCAGCACAGGAGGCCGTGACAGGGGGCCTGCCGGGGGGGCTGGCGTGAAGCGAGGCAGAGGCAGCAGAGGGAAACATTTGGGAAGGCCACAGAGACAGAGCAGCAGACAGGAAGGGGAGCAGGGTCCCTAGGACTTGGGGAGGGTGGGAGAAGGAGCCTCAGGGCAGAAGGGGAGAGGGCTGTTCTCTCCTGAAACTCTGAAGAGCTTAGCAGCAACTGTGAAGTTAGCTGGGATGTGCCAAGACCGCTCTCACTTCGTTTGTAAGTCAGGGGTTCCCCAAAACACTTCTGGGGTTCAGTAAGTCACTGGAAGGAGTCATGGGGCACACTGAAGACTGTGGTACTTATGGTTACAATTTACAGCAGGGAAGGGGTACCTGTTAAAACCCGCGCAGGGAAGAAGCACACGATCTGCACGGAGCCTTGCCAACGAGGGAAGCCCAGCCAAGCCTTGGTGGCTAGACTATTTCCTGGGGCTCAGTCACATACCACCTTTACTGTCCAGCCCCTGCCGTAGGTCACACTGATCCTGTGTCACCCAAAGTCCCCGTCATAACTCATGCTGTTTACCGTGGGGTAGCCTGATGCCCTAGGCAAGCAAAGATACTTATCAGGTAGGACATCCTAGGGGACCTAGAGGTCACCTCCCAGGAGCCGAGGACAGGGGCCAGACTTGCCTCTGGGTAAGGTTAATTCTTCAGTGTGCAATCTTGCAGCTGGGTGTGAGAGAAGGCACAGGAGGATGGGGACCCCGGACATGTAGTGGCCACATCGTACACTGCTGTTTGGGTGTCCACACGGGCACCTGGTCACGGGTGTTAGGGTGGCCCCAGGCACTCGGCAGGTCACTCACCTGGCTCGTGCCCGAGGCATTTTGCATGGCCGTCGTGTGCTGGGGTAGGATCCGAAACAGCCAGGTCATTGTGCAAAGAATGTTCGCACTGTTCATGTGTGCGGTCTTGGCTTCTTCCTTCGCCCAAGTCTTCGTTCCAAAACGGGTCACGCCGCTAGCAACAGGGTCGTCAGGAGGATTCCATGCAACTCTGAGTAGGAACCTTTGGTGTGGGGAGCTCAGAACCCTCCATGAGGACTCAAGAATGCATGGTGTTTAAAATTCGTCCTTTGAAGGCAGCTGTTCACTCGGATAGCTCTTTTGGTGTTGGCTCGTGCGCATGCCGTAATACTTGGGGAAAAGTATTGGGGGGATAACTCCTGAAGTAACGCCTGCCTTCTTCTTTGGTTCTAGGTGAGGCTCCAGGTCGGTTTGTATGCTGTGTACCTTTTGGACTGGCTCACTGTCTTTAACAAAGAACAGTTCCTCATTCTTCGCTTGGAAGACCATGCATCCAACGTCAAATACACCATGCACAGGGTCTTCCAGTTTCTCAACCTCGGTAGGAATACCACGCGGGAGACAATGGAGCTGCCATGGGCCCTGTGCACCCGGGCCGCCCGAGGTGCTTGCTGAGTCACGTGCAGACTCCGTGCACTGGGCCGGGCCAGGCTGAGCTGGGCAGCTAGTTCAGTAGCTGTTTGCCAGGCACAGGGCCTGGTGCCGAGGTGGTGAGGGGGTCCCTCATCGGGGAGCTTTGAGTCCAGCAGAGGGAGAGGGGAAAGGCACAGCTCAAGTAACCAAGGAATGTGGGGGAAGGATAGTGCCCTCACCATAGGTTCGTACACATGACTTGGGGTCCCAGCTGCTGAAGGTTGGAATGGAAGGCTTCATGGAAGGAATGGTCTGTGAGCTGAGCCTTGGGGAGGGGTGAGATGTCAGTGTGTGGCTGGAACAATCCTGCGGAGGCCCAGGCTTGGAGGAGGGAATGGACTGGTCATCGCATCGTTTCAGGTTTTTAGGGACCCCTGGAGTCGGGGCCACGTAGCTGAGTGGCACGTTGGGGTAGGTCTGCTGCTCCTGGGCATGGCGATGGCCAGTAGGGGTGGGAATGTGGACATGGAGTGCTGCCCATGTGGATGGGCACCCCTGGACTGCTTGTTGAAAGTCTAGAGCAGAGTTCAGATTCCTTCCCAGGACTCCTCCCATGGCCCCGTCTAATGATCTGGCCTGGGAATTTTGTTGGTGGAATATTTTTTGAAGTATATTTGCCCGCCACTGGTCTTGGACCCTTTTGTCATGGGTGAGCTGGTGATATGAGGGAGTGTGATTACTTTTCCCTTTGAGGGCCCAGAACCATTTTTCTTTGATTTGGCCACTGGTGGATTCTGTTGGATTGATGAGCTTGTCTTTAGTCCCTGAGACAGTGAAGACCAGTTCTGTTCCTTCTATTACATCTAACCCAAGGACACTGGAATAGGGTTTTCTGTGTAAAGGCTCAGGACTTTGGCCAAATCCCGAGAGCCTGAGCAGTGATCCGGTTGGTTAAGCCAATGAGAGGCCTGTGGTTCAGAGGGCTGGGATAGGGGTGGCTGGCTTGTTTCCGGCCCTCTCTCCCCACTGATCCCCTTGCTGCAGGCGGAGGTTCAGCTCATGGGGTCTCTGAGCATAGGTGGCCTCCCCCTGGCCCCCATGGCCACCATACAGCACAATACGGAAGGTGAAATATGGCCCAGCCACAGGCCCTTTGCGTCAGCAGCCTGAAGCAGAAATGACACTGGCAGAATTCCAGCAGGCTGGTTAGCAGGAAAATCTAAGCACACGGACCGTGTCAGGCAGGTCGGACGGTTATCCAGGGACAGGCTGACGGCCACGAGAGCCAGCCCTTTGTGGCGATGTGGCCACAAAAGCAGGACGTGAGGCTTGGGTGAGGCTGCATCCCCCAGGTCCTGCCGCACTTCCGAGGGCAGGTGTGCAACCCCAGGCTGGAGAGTCCCTGCTCGTTCATGAGGGCACTTCCGCTTTCCACCCCCAGCAATTCCAGGAGGGGTCCAGCCAAAGAATTTTCATCTCCCAGCACTTCAGGGGAGCTCCTATCTCAACACGAAGCATGACTGGGAGTTTCGCACAGTTCCTTCCTGCCATGCCTCCGGCCTCATGGGAGTTTTTCTCTGTGTTCCAGGGCCCTTAGGTGAGAAACAAGAGACCCTGATGACAAAGAGCCCCGCATCCAACGCGCGGCGCCCCGAGGACCGGAACCTGGGGCCCATGTGGCCGGTCACCCAGAGGATCCTGCAGGACTTCTATGGGCCCTTCAACACTAGGCTGGCGCAGGTGCTCGCCGACGAGGCATTCGCCTGGAGGAAGACCTGAGGGCCGAGCTCCTGCGGCGGGTTCCACTGTACCATGATGGAAGAGTCTCTTTGGGGGTGGGGGGCCCTTTTACTCACAGCGTGGAGAAAACCCTGAGATTCTTCTTCCCCTCCCAGGCACGTGTTTAGTATAAGCATTTGTGGTGTGAAATAACCTGGCAACTGACCCTTCACGGAGCTCCCCAATCCAAGGCCACTGGAAACTCCACTTGGGAAACTGATCCCTCCTACACCAGAGCAGCCAGGCTGCAGGGGTGAGGCGGGCGGCGCCAGGCACGGGGGTTCAGGGGAGGCGTGGCTGGGGGCTGATGATGCTGGGATCCGATTGAGCACACTGGAGGTCACGCTACGATGTTGGAGGTCATGTCACCATGCCGGAGGTCACGTCACCACGCTGGAGGTCATGCTACCACATCAGAGGTCACGTCACCATGCTGGAGGTCATGCCACCATGCCAAAGCTCATGTCACCACGCTGGAGGTCATGTCACCATGTCGGAGGTCATGCTACCACGTCAGAGGTCACATCACCACACTGGAGATCATGTCACGATGCTAGAGGTCATGCCCCCATGCCAGCGGTCACGTCACCATGCTAGAGGTCATGTCACCACGCTGGAGGTCATGTCACCACGCTGGAGGTCAAGTCACCACGCTAGAGGTCACGTCACCACGCTGGAGGTCACGTCACCATGCTAGAGGTCATGTCACCACACTGGAAGTCATGCCCCCATGCTGGAGGTCATGCCCCCATGCTAGAGGTCACGCCACCATTCTAGAGGTCATGTCACCATTCTAGAGGTCATGCCACATGCTGGAGTCACGTCACCGTGCTGGAGGTCATGCCCCATGCTAGAGGTCACTTATACTTCCATTCAGTTCTGAAACACAATTCAGATCAATACCTTCATTTGGGCAGAGAATGGAGGCTCTTTCCTTTCTTCCTTTTACTCCGAAGTCCACCCTTTATTCTCTTCAGATGTAAACCCTGTTCACTTCACTTGTATGAGAGAGAAAAAACAGTCGAATTTTGGCAGCCCATTGGTTTCTCGGACCGTCTCCCATTCTGTCCTTGCTTTTCTTAGGTTTAACTAGAAAATGGATGTTTAAAACCGCTTTCTGCATTTCGTTAGGCATAGCTCTCTCTTCTGCCTCTTAACGTGTTTCCTCCAGAGCTTATTCAGTTTATAATTGGAAGGGAAGTTTTTGCTGTTAATGCCAGACTGAGCGACTTCCAGGAACTGAACTCTTCATGGGAAATCTGGGTATCTTGGACCCTCCTCATGCACTCAAGGTCACTACCAGGCCTGGAGGGTGTTTTAAGTTTTAGTTCTGGCCACAGACACATTCCGGTGCTCTGCCTTCCCACATTCTCCACCACGTGTGGCCAGAGGCCCTTACTGTGTTCACAGACTACAAGATGCTTGTGTTCTGTTTCAGAAACACAGTGAGTGAGCTATACATGGGCCATGCATGGTATGCTGGGATTCTTAATGGAAATTTCTAGGCTCCTCTGCAACTTGGTTTCCCAATAGATGGACTAAAGGTCTCATCATTTCTTGGAAGTGAAGGGGAGAGATTGAAGAGGACAGTGGAGCACACTCGGCACCCAGCCCCAGGTGGGACCTCGATGAGACTTCGCCCTGGAGGGTTTCCAAGGGAAGCTTCCTGCGAACCAGAGCCCTCCGGTCAAGGTCCCTTAACGCCAAAGTCAGAAAGTGCAGGTGTCTTCGTGTCCAGCCATCGCTCGCAGACGTGCAGGTTCGCTCAGCTGTCCAGCCCTGGCACCACTATCTTTCTGCCATCAGGAGGTGGGACGCGCAGCCCGTCTGACGGCATGCAGAGGGCCATCGGTATGGACGGCTGAGCCGTCTCTGCTCCCAAAGGGGCTGTGTGCCCTGAGACCCGCTTTGTGAGACAGTGCCCCCTTTCCCTTTCCCTCAAGCCAGCAGGTGGAGCGGGGCCGGCGGGGGAGTCTGGCCTGAGCCCGGGGGCTGCAGGGAGATACCACTCCGCGTGCATGTGTACCTATCTGCAGTGGATGGTGTGTGCGTGCGCGTGGGTGCCTTTTCTGAGTGGGCTCCCTTCCGGGTCTGTTGCTGATGAGGCGCCTCCGCTCCGGACACAGCCTTCTTGTGGATTAATTTCTCTGCCTACGAACTTGTCATTTCCAGTACACATTTTGCTATTCTACTCCAACCATGACGACGACAAAGGATTTTTCCTACGCACTCCTATGCATGTGAATAACGTGTAGTGTAATTCTGCTTCTTACAGAAGTATTACCGGAGGTGTTATTTCCAATATTATTTGGTTTATTCTACAAATCTTTTTGTATATGCAGGCCCAGCCCTTCGTGCCCATCCGTGCCATCCAGTTCCTCTCAAGGGGCCTTTCTCTGGAGGGCGTATCTGTCACCTCTGCCTTGTCGCGTTCAGGCCCGGTTCTCGTTGGCGGCCCGGGCACCGTTCCAGACGGCGGCCCTCGAACCTGTCGTCCAAAACCAAAGTGAAAGGGAGCATTTCTCATGACCTGGTATTGAAGTGACTTTGTGTCCCCAAAGCCGCGTGTCGGACTGTATTCCGTTGTACACCCTAAGTAGTAGCAGGGGTGTTCGTGAGCCGTGGGCACGCTGTATTTGTATTCATATTTAACAGTAAATGTGGACCCTGTGACCCGTCCCGGGAGCGCATGCCATTCCTCGCCCTCCTGAGCACCTGTGGTAGGTTCCGCATGGCGTCTGCCACGTACAAATGAGTCTGGGAAATCGTTCAGGGTCTAACCTGTGGGCTCTCTGCGTGCACTGGGTGAGGGGGCCTCCTGCATATGGGGACGGAGAGAGAAGAGCAGAGAAAAAAGGGCTCTGACGTGACCAGTGACTCCCCACGAGCGGCCTGCCTCACATGGGTGTGTGCGTGTGAAGATGGACTTCTGTGAAGAAGGTTGGGGTGACTGATCACAGGCCCTGCTCCTCCCAGAGGCTGCGCTCAGCCTGGCTGCTTCCCTCATTCCTGGGGCCAGGCCTGGCCCCGGGGGCAGTGAGTTGGAGACTTCTGGTGTCACTGGGTGTGTGTCACTGTCCTAGATACTCGGGGTCCCCTGGCTGCACTGGGATGGAGGAGATGGGGTCTCAAGTTTGGGGTTCTGGAGGCCTGGGTGATCCTGGGGCCACTGTGGCCCATGGTTTGGTCCCCTAGTTCTGCAAAGAACCCCCCTGGGGAGAGTCTCTCTCCCAGCACTGCCCCCCCCATAGTGGTGTGTTGTGTAGGGGGCCAGTGAGTCCAGGCCTGGAAAGAGGAGGAACCCCATCTCTTGATGAGGGAGCCAGGAACAGCTTGGCTCAGCAGAAAAAATGGGCCTGAGAGGAGAAAGGGGGGTGGGTGGGACATGAGGGGCAGATTGGACGGGTGAGTCTGGAGGGTTGTTTGAGTCCCTGTCCCAGGAGACTTTCCGGAAACCCTCTCTCCTGTGTGGACACCCACCCCTACTCAGGAACCAGCTCGTAGGGAACATACTGATGCAGGTCATCTGCATCTTAACGTGAACCTCCCTTTGGAACGACCTCTTCCCAAGCGCCCCTATTTGGGAACCAAAGCAAAGGCTGTGCTCTGGAGGAATTTCGGGCCTCAGCCAGCAGGGAGGGAGAGAGGTCTCAGGTGTAGGCGGGTATTACCCTGTTGCTCCAGAAATCTCACCCTCTGGGTAGCCACTCTGCTTGTGGGTGAGGCAGATCCTGTTAAGACTTGCAAGAAGAATCACCTTCCCAGGACCCCCCAGGGCCAGGCTCCTGCCCAGCAGCCGGGAGAGGGCAGGGCCCCAGCAGCATGAGCAGCAGAGGCCCTGGGGACCTGGATTAGTACCCCTCCTCTGCTGGAGCACATTATGCCAGATTTAGCGCCTTAAAACAACACAAGTTGATCATCTGGCAATGCTGGAGATCAGAAATCCAAAATCAGTCTCATGGGGCTAAGGCCAAGGTGTGGGCTCTGATCCTTCTGCAGATGCTTCTGGGGGCCTCCCCTTTCCATCGCTGGTGGCCACTGACCCCGTCCTCAGTGTAGCATCTTCAAATCTCTCTCTGACTCTAGTTCTGCGGTCACATCGCCCTTCTCTTGACTGTCCCCCTCCTCCCCTCAGAAAGACTCTGGTAATTACTCTGGGCCCACCCGGATAATGCAGGATCTTCTCCCCATCTCGGTCATGTTTGTAAAGGCCTTTTGGCCACGTAAGGTGACTTATTTACAGGCTCCAGGGATTAGGGTGTGGATGTCTTTGGGAAGGGTGATTGTTCAGCTGCCTATAGGAGGGTGGTCCTGCGAGCCAGTCAGGCAGTCAAGGGAGTCTTGCCCCTGGCCTGTCCCTTGCAGCTGTCCCCTGTGGGGCCCAAGCAGATGTGAGTGGGCAGGCGGCTGCCTAGCAGAGTACCAAGCTTTATGACATGTCCGTCCTGAGATGGTGCGTCTTCCTGTCCAGCAGGATCCTGTGGCTGGGGTGAGCAGGATAGGGGGAGGCCAGGCAGGGCCAAAGACCTACTTTTCTCCCAAAGTCACATTGCAAGTCATTCTTAAGTGTGTTTCTCCAGGTGAGCCCAGGGCCACCCCAGCCCCAGATAGAACTATTTCTCCCTCTCTGGGTAGAAGTGATTTCTGAGGGCTTACAAGTTTTTTTTTCTTTAAAGTTACTTTCTCAGTTCCCTAGGGGACCCACACCAGCCACGTGGGCAGGTTTGAGTTTCTGAAGTTCAGCTGTTTCTGAGTTAGTCATGCTTCAAGGGGAGCAGCTTCTGAAAGCTACAAAAATAGTTCGCACGGTTTCTGGTCCCTACGAGAGCCTGGGGGGCCGTGACCTCTGTGGGTCCATGCTCCAGAGGCGGCATGGGACGGCTGACCTCCAAACTCTCTCTCCTCGGCCCTGCCTCCTGGCCCCACGCTGGACTCAAGTCCACGACCTCTACTCTGTCACTGCTCCTGAAGCCCCTGGCAGTCTGGACCCTGTCCCCAGCCCTCCCGCCCTGCCATTCCCCTGCCACCCTCCACCCCCTCTTTTGCTGACCTGCTCCAGCGCAGGGTCTCTGAGGGCTGTGTCTCCCCTGGGTCTCTTAGTGCTGTGCTCCCCCAGAGCCACGGAGTGGGGCACGGAGGAGACTATGAAGGGGACCCCTTCTCCCACAGTGGGGGTTCCTTGGGGCACAGCATGGGGCTAGCAGAGAGGCCACTGGCGCTCCTGTGGCTCTCTGGCATGCACCCTTGCTCTGCCTGCTCTGAAAGGCCCCTTTAAGGAAGGCTCTAGAAGCAAGGAGGTCTATTTGAGGCTGATTCCTGGGCCTCCCTGAGTAGCATGGCTTTCCCAGGGCCACATGGTGACGTAACAGCGGGGACCCAGTGGAGCAGAGAAAGGCCGGGTCCAGGGCATCATGATGGGAAAGCGTCCAGCTTCTCCCCACGTCATGAGCCATTCTTCCACCAGAAGGGATGGGCTGACTTGCACCCACCAAACTCTACCCCCAGAGAGGGACAGCATGGGAGGAGGACAAGCCCTGGGCCTGGAGCCGGATGGGCTGGGTTCAAGGCTTGGGTTCCCCAGTGGAGGGCCTGAGATGCACCCACCCCATCACCTTGGGGACACCACTGGCCCTTCCCCCATCCACAGGTCTGGGGGCCTCGTGTGTGTGTGAGAATTAGTGAGACAATGGTACACAGAAGTACAAACAGGATCAGAGAGGCTGCCCACCTGCCAGAGGTCACACAGCTCTGATCCCCAGAGACAGCAGAAGGGCAACTCATTTTTTACTTGTTAACTTCAAAGTCAGTGCTTTTACCTGCCGTGCCAACTGTATACCCACGGTCCCCCCAGCAGGGCTCCCCAGCCTGTCCGCCTTTCACGTACCAGAACTCCTCCTCCCCTTTCAGTCCCCATTTGGAAGACCCTCAGGGATGGGGCCGTGGTTTCCGCACACCTCCCGATCTAGGGCTCTGGGTGGTGACTGGAACTTCTTGGGGAAAACAAAGGGAAATGAACATGACTTTGTTCTGCCCAATGGGTTTGCGGTGGAGTCACCTGACCTCCCACCTACAGGCTGAGGGCCTGCGGGCTGGCTCAAGGGGCCAGCAGAGTCCTCAGAAGTGGGCTGCCCACCCCTGGGCTCAGCCCTGCCCCGCCGTCTCAAAGGCACCAAGGGACACACTTCAGCTAGAAAGTGTGCAAGAGCCAAAACTTAATTTTTTAGCCAATGTTTCCTGAACATCTACTTGGCGCAAGGCACTGGGCCAGACATTGGGCTGGGCTGGGCTGGGGGCTGCTTTTCACCTCTTCATTCCCCAAGTGATTTCGGAGTGCTGCCTGGGTGCCCGGCACTGGAGGCTCCCAGGAGAGCCGACCTGGTCCCTGTCCATGTGGACCCAGGATCTCGTGCAGCAGACAGATACGAGTCAGAGCATCACCCAAGCAATGCCGAACTGCAGCAGCTTCGGGTGCCACGTAGGAGAGGTGCTGAGAACAGTGACCTGTTCTTGCGGTGACCGCCGCCCCTCCCGAGGCCACTGCATACCCTGTGTGACCTCCCCATCAGTGGCAGAAACCCAGTCGGAATGGGTGACCCAGCTTCCCCCAAATGGCATGGGCACCAATCCCAGCATGCTTCCGACTGGCCAGGGCGCCCCCAGGCTGGGGTTCCTGATCCTCCTGGGAACCAGCAAAATAGAAGAGATTACGCAAGTTCCTGTTTAACAGCAGAAAGAACAAATTTCCACAAACATTTCCTGATCGGATTTTACATAAAATAATTCAGTATTATAATACCAGTGTTTTGGTAATACAGGTCCACCCGTGAGAAGGTGGAATTCTTTTCGGGGGTAACATTTCACTTAATGAGATTCAAAGTTCATGTACCCTATCACATCCCTTGTGGAAGTTCATCCGTAAAGACTGTTCCTAGCTCGTCTCCTGGCCCCGCTACCCTCCACTTGGGAAACGCTAGACTCCAGCTTCCAGAGCAGTTTCTTCCTGGCTCCACCTCTTGTTTCTGACCTTGAAACGTTGGGGGGTATCCCACGCTCTGTCCTCAGCCCTCTGAGCTAGCTTTACCCCAGTCCCTGGCCCCAACCGCCACCTCTATGTGATGACTCCCAGACCTCGGCCCTGTGCCGGTGTGTGTCTTACCGGGTCACAGCATCTCCAAACTAACTGAGCGACCCAGAGCCCTTGGGGTCTGACCCCGCCCCCGTGTCCCGCCTCAGTCACAGTGGCCAGCCTGTGTAGACCGAATCTCTGAGCTCCCGTCCAGTCACTGCTGTGTCTCTCACCGACCCTGGAGCCCACCTGCCCTGCACTCCAGCTCTTACTGTCTGTCCTGCACAGAAGGCTCTGCCCCTTGGCTGCTTCCTTCAGGTCCTCCCTTGTGTCCCATCCTCCCCGACGAGCTTGACTAAACAGCCACTCCCTCCCCCTACCCCAGGGGTTGCTCCTCTCCTCTTTCCCAGAAGCCACCGTTCTGTTGCTTCTGCCCCCCAATTCTGACCACTCCTCGCCACCAGCCCTGTATTAATCATGGTTTCAGTTTCTGTATTTCATGACTCTTTGACGTCTTGGGAACTCGTTGACCCTCCGGGGGGCAGCTATGTCCTAGAGGTGGCAAACAAGTCCCTTCTGCGTGAGCCTCTGATATGCAAACCAGCCA